TCCCGTTGCAGCACTGTGGGCCACAGAAAATGGCTTGGCAGGCCACATGGTGGCCCGTGGGCCGTATGTTGGACAAGCCTGGTCTAAAAGTTTCCTATGTTACTTTGTCCACTCGCATCATTTCAATTCCAAGAATCAGAGTGCTTTAAAACTTATAGCTGTACAGCTCCTCTTGCAAGAGTGATATTGTACTAATTTGTAATGAGCAAACAAACACAGAGACACTAAGGGTAGTGATAGACATGAAAAAAACCCAACCCAGAACTTTACCAGAAGAGGCTGCACATTAGTTTGATCTGGCTCTGCAGCCTGTATAGATCAGGCACTGCAGCGGAGCTTTTTAGCTTTTATCTAATAGCTATAGCTTTTATCTAGTAGCTATTAGATAAAAGCACCCAAAAGTGCTGCTGAAGGCCCCCAATCTATACAAATGCAGGGTTCCTGATCTATATAGGGTGCACTGAGCTTAAAGTAGTTTGTTTGTTTGTTTTTTTCCATGTCTGTAAGCAGCCTAAAGCTAGGATTTTTTTGGAAATGTGGCCAGATCCAAATTTACAAAATCAATGACAGCAGCAGGAGCTTTGTAACTCTGAAAATGTAAGGGTTTCAGCCAGGGATGTCTCTTATCAGGAAGGAATGTATTTTAAATGCATGCTTAATTTTAAGCCTAACCTTTAGTGCTTTGCTAACTCACAGCCTTAAGTAGGGGTCTAAACATAGACTTGTGTCTAACTTTAGATGCACAAATTTAAAACATCTGGCCTCAGTGACTTGTCATGGTCCTATAACTAGAAACAGAAGTGAAGTCCTTTGCATTTTATTTAAAACTAAAGAAGTGATAATTCCTGCTGTACTCAGCACTAGTGAGACTGCAGTTGGAGTGCTGTGTCCAGTTCTGGGCGCCACACTTCAATAAGGGCATTGAGAAACTTGAGAGGGTCTGGAAAAGAGCCACCCGTATGATCAGGAACTTGCAAGGCAAGCCATATGAGGATAGGCTAAGGGACTTGGGCCTCTTTAGCCTAAAGAAGAGAAGGTTAAGAGGGGGCTTGATAGTGGCTTACCGCTATATCAGAGGAGTGCATCAGGAGCTCAGTGACCAACTGTTCACTAGGGCACCACCAGGGAAGACCAGGACCAATGGATATGAACTCCTGGAAGGCCACTTCAGGCTTAATGCCACGAAAAACTCCTTCACAGTCAGGGTGTCCAGACTGTGGAATAAACTCCCTCCAGAGGTGGTGCAGTCACCTACCCTGGAGGTTTTCAAGCAGAGACTAGACAGTCATCCCAGCTGTCTTCCTGCCTAGAGCACAGAGGCTGGACCCAGTGATTTGCAAGGTCCCTTCCAGCCCCTAACAATCCATGAATCTATGCTCTAACCATACATTTCTCCTGATTTCCACTAAGTTAAACTCCCTGTGTTGCCCATAAGCTCTTAAAGTAAATACTCTGAATCAGTCTGTGACAGGAGGACAACTCAGGGCCAGTTCTCATCTTGGCCCACCCACCTGTCTCTTCTGCCACGACTTGCTGAATATATAACTGGTGTAAGAATGTGGGAGGCTGCCCATTTAGTGCCCCAATGCCAAGGGTGTTATACATAGCTCCATACTGTCCCTACACTGTGTCCCATGCCTTGCAGATGGCATCATAAGTTGGTTATAGCACCGGTGCAGGGCTGGGCCAAACGCTGCTCTTTGTAGGGCCTCTAACATACAACTCACATAGTCTGCCCTTCACAGGGTCTCCTACATACCATCTCCTCTCACAGGGCCTCTTTCAACTGCCCCTCACTGGGCCACTCTCAACCTGTCCTGCTTTATGAGCGGCCCCCTCAGGCCATCAAGCTTAACTACTCTCATTGTGGTCAGTCCACACACAGCACTTTAGGTTGCTCGAGCAACCCTACTCTATGTGGCAGGCCTTGTGCCTCACACTGGGCTGACTGCCCCAGCCCCTTGATAGGCAATTCTCTCACATCTATACTTTTATAAGGGTTGGCCTGTGTGCTGCCCTTCAAACCACCCCTGCAGCCCTACTCAACACATTCCCAGTGCAGCCCTTCAGATCGCCTTGCAACACT